AAAAAAATCAAAGTAATGAGTCAAAACTACAACATTTCAATGGTTATTATAAGTAAAAGTATTGAGTCAAAGTATAATTTTTTAAAAATTAAAAACATGACTCTCATAGGCTCATGAAATGAACACACTTAAAAAGTATTTAACTCATTAATGAGGGGGCCAATACAAAGTTTGTTCCAAGCACAATTGAAGAACTGGGGATTTACAAGCACTCAAGATTTCTAGGTTATATACAAACCTGACAAATGCCTACAAAGTAATAAAACCATAACTTTTGAGGTGATCCTGTCTACCAGACTGAAACCTATGAATTAATGTATAAGTTTATTGTGTCTGGGATCTAACCAAATAGTAAACAGCAAGTCCAAACACCAATACGCTGGCCTAGAGAATTAATCCCTGATTGGGCCATTAAACAATGCCCTGGCATACCTTTGTCAGGACATGCCTCCACCTATTCCACACCTTATCTCTAAGATTTGTATAGTTTTCCTTAATAATAGTGAAGTGGTTAAGGCCATACACATACTGCTTGGGTTCTCAGCTCTGAGTGTACTAGCTGGGGTACTAGCTGTGTTAAAGTCTTAAAAATGTTGCACTGATGAGGGAGAAATTGACTGGTCTTGCTTGGGAGGCCTCACAGAGGAGCAGACAAGAGAGTTATGACGACTCGAAATATGGAATTGGCTTTGAAGAGAAGTCACAGAGAAGTTTCATCAGAGCCCCTTAGGCTCTTCTCATTAAGTCTGTTCATATTCAATTTTATTTTAGGGTTTTTAGTCTAAAATATCTGTCTGTCTAGCTAGCCAGCTAGCTAGTGATCAATGGCTCACTGCAGCCTGGGCTCAAGCAATCCTCCCACCTTAGCCTTCCAAGTAGCTGGGACTACAGGCATGTGCCACCACGCACAGCTAATTTTTTGTTTATAGAGATGGGGTCCATGTTGCCAGTCTTTTCTCTCTCTCTCTCTCTCTCTCTTTCTCTTTCTGAGATAGGATTTCACCTTGTTGCCCAAGCTGGACAACTGGTTTCACTAAAGACTCGCATCACCACGCCTGGCTTATGTGTTGATACTGGAGTTAAAAAAGAAATTATTTAGGCAAATAGTGAGGGTAAGGAGGGCCTCAGTAAGGTTTTCCTTTTAATGAAAAGCAGCCCTCAAATAATTTCTTTTCTAACAAAGAGCAGCCTGTAAAATCAAGCTGCAGATATAGAAAGGCAAGCTAGAAGCTTGCACGGGTGAATGTTGCCAGCTGTGCCAATAGGAAAAAGGGTACCTGGGACTAGGCATGTCCACTATGGCAGCTCCATCTTCCCTTCTCTTTGCCAGTCACATGTGCAGTAAAGAGCAGGTAATGTGGTGCCGGCCAAGCAAAAATCCCATTTGTATAATAAGAAGATTAGGGTGGGGTGGCCAGCTTCTCTGCGTGCTATGTAAACATCACACCTGGTCCAACCAATCTTTGGGCCCTGTGTAGATCAGACATGGCCTCCTCAAGCCTGTCTATAAAACCCTGCGCACAGGCCAGAAGTCCCACTCGGGTGCCTCTCGTGCACAGGAGAGAGGGCTATTCTCCTCTCTCTTTCTTTTGCCTATTAAACCTCTGCAATTAACCTCACTCCACGTGTGTCCATGTCCTTGATTTCCTTGGCATGAGGCAACGAACCTCAGGTGTCACCCCCGACAATGATGCCGTTTCAGTGTTACTTTTTTTTTTTTTTTTGAGATAGAGTCTCCCTCTGTTGCCCAGGCTGGAGTGCAGTGGCACCATCTTGGCTCACTGCAGCCTCCACCTCCCGGGTTCAAGCAATTCTCCTGCATCAGCCTCCTGAGTAGCTGGGACTACAGGCTAATTTTAATAAGCTTGGTTATGAGGTTCCCTTGCTAATTGCAAACAAATAATTGCAAAAAAGCAAGTAAAGATTACTAAAGGCAGAGGTAGCAACCAATAGAAAAAGAAGAGAGAGAAAATCTACAAAGAAGATGCAGACATTTAAAGAACCTCATCAACAGACTCAGGTTTCCCACGTGGGACAAATAGCCTCTAGAGCAATAATTAATGCTTATAATAATGACCTTTGCTATCAAGAGGTTAAGTTAGTTTTAATATCTTCTAAGAAGGAAGAGAAACATGTAATATACTTGAATACGATTTTTGCCACAATGATTAAATTTAGTGATTAAAGTGATAACATGCATTTCTTTGATGGTTCTGAATAAACATGTTACTGTACATGGTTTACAAGGTGCTCTATATTCCTCTTTGGAAACTAAAATAATTTTAATAGGTGTTTTAGTCTGTTCTCGCATTGCTCCAAATAAATACTTCAGATTAGATAATTTATCAAGAAAAGAGATTTAATTGGCTCATGGTTCCGTAGGCTGTACAGGAAGCATGCTGCTGGCATCTGCTCAGCTTCTGGGGAGGCGTCAGGAAACTTTCAATCATGGTGGAAGGTGAAAGGGAAGCAGGCACATCTTACATGGCCGGAGCAGGAGGAAGAGAGAGAGCAGGGGGAGGTGCTACACAGTTTTAAACAAGCAGATCTCACGAAAACTCACTCACTCACTATCACGAGAACAGCGCCGGGGGATGGTGCTAACCCATCCATGAGAACTCCGCCTGCATGATCCAATCACCTCCCACCAGGCCCCACCTCCAATACAGGAGATTACAATTCAACATGAGATTTAGTCTGGGACAAAGATCCAACCACATCAATAGGAACATAAAATGGTAATTAACATCAATAGGGAAAATTGTGGTTTCTTAAACATGAGTTTTGCTTTTCAGATAACCATTGGTCTAATGTGAAAAGTAGTTTAGTAAAAAGTATAGTAAAATTTTATGCCAATTTAAACTTTAGGACATTTAGGCTGGGTGCAGTGGCTCACATCTGTAATCCCAGCACTTTGAGAGGCTGAAGTGGTAGGATTGCTTGAGCCCAAGAGTTCCAGGCCAGCCTGGGCAACATAGTGAGACTCCCATCTTTATTTTAAAAAACAAAAACAAAAAACAAAAAAACTTTAGGACATTTAGTTACTCAAACTAGAAAAAGCATACCCTTAGCCATACTGATATCTCTAGTCTCTCATATTGGTGAGATACCAGGATTTTTGTTGGTTTATTCCATATGGCCATCATCTGAGCTCCAATCAGAGAAACAAACAGTATCTACTAGTAATGCTAGAAAACAATAGCACTATTTGTGAGTACTCAATTAATGAATTTTCTTCCTTAAAAAATTATAGATTATAACATAACTCAAAATCAAACTGTTAAACGGAAGTATTTTCTTTTGTCCATTTTTGAAAATTCTAGTGGCAAGGCAAATAAATCTTCTCTAATTAAAGACATCTAAATCACCCAAGATCAAAGCACCAAAGCAAAAAAAAAAAAAAGGTAGTGATGGGAAAATAAAATTATAATTAAAATTCATAACATTAAATTACAAAATAAAGTATATAAATAGATCTCTTTTGAGTATAACATGAAACAGAATTCTTTTGGGCCAGGCACAGTGGCTCACACCTGTAATCCCAGCACATGGCAAAACCCTGTCTCTAAAAAAATTAATTAAAAAAAAAAAAAAATTAGCCAGGTGTGGCGTCACATGCCTGTAATCCCTACTTGGGAGGCTAAAGCTGGGATAAAACCTGACAAATTTAACAATTCTCAGCAGAAGTCTTTGGCTGGGTAAAAATAAGTTCAACACTAGTCAGTAACAAACAGAGATTATGTTTTGAGGTGGTCTTAATATGGTTAATAAAACAAACACAAAGCTTTAGATTAAAATATTGTTAGTATATACATAAATTATTTGGTCCATAAACTGGTAAAACTTACTATAGGATGTTGAAAATGTACCACATTTAAAATGAACACTTATTGTATAAATGGACAAAATACCTCACTAAGTTGATGTCACTTTAATAATTTATGAAAGTGAATAAAAGTCGACTTTGCTTTAACAAATACTCAAAAACTTATAATAAAAATTAATGTTCGTGGCCGGGTGTGGTGGCTCACACTTGTAATCCCAGCACTTTGGGAGGCCAAGGCGGGCGGATCATGAGGTCAGGAGATTGAGACCATCCTGACTAACACAGTGAAACCTCGTCTCTACTAAAAATACAAAAACAAAATTAGCCAGGCATGGTGGTGGGCGCCTGTATTCCCAGCTACTTGGGAGGCTGAGGCGGGAGAATGACGTGAACCCAGGAGGTGGAGCTTGCAGTGAGCCGAGATCACACCACCGCACTCCAGCCTGGGTGACACAGCGAGACTCTGTCTCAAAAAAAAAAAAAAAATTAATGTCTGTATGAAGTATTATGATTTGATTAATGAGAAATCATTTGTGAGTTCTTTCTTTTTTAAACAACTATATACATTTTTGCCTTGATTCATTAAAACTAAATTATTTCATTTAAGCACTTTACCTAGAAATGTTACCTTTTAAGTAAAATAATGGGGTCAAAGAATTAGAGAACTTAAGGGCTAGCAGAATCTTCAGGGAATATCCAGTGCAGGGGAACTGCAAACCTTAATTTGCATCGGAAGTCCCTGTGGTTCTTGTTAAAATGCAGATGGCCAGATAGGTCCTACCCTACCCATCTGACTCAGTAGCCTGGGATGAAACCTGGAAGAAATAACCATTACGGAAATAACCCTTGGGGTGGGGTTATAGCCCCACTCCCACCCCAAGGTGACTCCCATGTAGGTTGTCTACAGATCAGTGGGAGGAAAAATATTTTACCATCTACTACCTTCCTTCCTAAATCAGGAAACTTCCTAGAACATCAACATTCCATTTCTGGCTCAAACTACTCCTTCAACTCCTATAGGTAACTTACTGCCTCCCGGGGCAGCCCATTATACATTTATTGGAAGTTTCTTATAGAAACCTATACATTCAAAACATAAAGACATTCAACATGGGCTTACACAAATACATTAGTGTAAAGACTCACTGAAGAATTAAATGAAGGAAGAACTGACCTGCTTCTTCTGGTATTTGTTAATTAGATTCAGAAATAAGGCATAACATCTGGAATAGCTGGCCAAGGCTGCACAGCAGTCACGGTAAGAAGTAAGTTTGCTGCAGAAATGCCAAATGGGAAAATAAAGGTAAACTTTGTTTTTCTGTAAAATTCAAGTACACATAGTATCACTTTAAATGCAGAACTTCAAGACATTGCCCAGTTCAAGAAAAGGAGTCTAAAAATACTCTACATATCAGTTCAGGGAAGCTGCAAGGAGGCTTGCTATCTGCTATAAACTCTAGAGAGATGGATCCGGAGAAATTTAAAAGGTAACATATCTATGTGGTGTGAATTTACACTATCCATGTAGTTCAGAAAACACAAACTTACATGAAATTTATATGAAATCTGGTTGGATACCAGTGAGTCTCCTGGCACCACATCAGAAGCAAATGTAAAACTACTTTAGTAGGCCAGGCACGGTGCCTCATGCCTGTAATCCCAGCACTTTGGAAGGCTGAGGCAGGTGGGTTACTTGAGGTCAGGAGCTTGAGACCAGCCTAGCCAACATAGTGAAACCCCATCTCTACAAAAATACAAAAATTAGCTGGGAGTGGTGGCATGTGCCTGTAATCCCAGCTACTCTGGAGGCGGAGGCAAGAGAACCACTTGAACCCAGGAGGCAGAGGTTGTAGTGAGCCGAGATTGCACCACTGCACTCCCGACTGGGCAATGGGGAGAGATTCTGCCTCAAAACAAACAAACAAACAAACCTATACATTCAAAACAAACAAACAAACAAACCTGCTTTAATACAGTAGATTGGTAGTGCTGTATTAATATTAGGCAAAATAGACCGACCTTAAGGCAGGAAGCCCTGAAAACAGCTTCAGAATTTCTAAAGCAAGCAAGCAAACAAAACCCATACCGCAATATTGACAAACCCACAACAAATCAGGAGATGTTCATATATTTCTTCCTAACTGATGAATGAATAGGTAAAACATCATTAATATGTTAAAAACTTGACCACATACCAGGCCATAAATAAGCCTCAGTAAATTTTCAGAGAACTGGTATCTCAAAGACCACATTCTCTGGTCAAAGTGCAATTAAATTAGACACCATTTAAAAAATAAATTTTTAAAAAACCTTTTTTTTGGAAATGTAAGGACACCTAATTTATAGGTCAAAGAAGCATGAAAATTACAAAAGAAATACCTAAATACAAGTAATAAAAATATTACAAATCAAAATGGGCCAGGCACAGTGGCTCACGTCTGTAATCCCAGCACTTTGGGAGGCCGAGACAGGAGGATCACTCGAGGCCAGGAGTTCAAGACCAGCCTGGCCAACATGGTAAAACCCCGTCTCTACTAAAACATATAAAAATTAGCTGGGCGTCGTGACGCATGCCACCAGGGTAGTCCCAGCTACTGCAGAGGTTGAGGCAGGAGAATCGCTTGAACCTGGGAGGCGAAAGTTGCAGTGAGCCGAGATCACAACACTGCACTCCAGCCTGGGCAACCAGAGTGAGACCTTGTCTCAAAAAAAAAAAAAAAATAAAAAAAAAGGGCCGCGCGCGGTGCTCAAGCCTGTAATCCCAGCACTTTGGGAGGCCGAGATGGGTGGATCATGAGGTCAGGAGATCGAGACCATCCTGGCTAACACCGGTGAAACCCCGTTCCACTAAAAATACAAAAAAATGCTGGCGAGGACGGTGGCGGCGCTGTAGTCCCAGCTACTCAGGAGGCTGAGGCAGGATGAATGGTGTAAACCGGAGGCGGGGAGCTTGCAGTGAGCTGAGATCCGGCCACCGCACTCCAGCCTGGGCGACAGAGCGAGACTCCGTCTGAAAAAAAAACAAAAAGAACAAAAAAACAAAAAAAAACTTGTAAATACTAAATTCCTCTAATTAGTATTGAAAGGAAATTTTATAGGTTTAAGGAGGCTGAAAAGAATTATGTTTTTTACTAAAATAATTAGAAGAAAAATATATATTCAAAGAGTAGAAGAAAATGATTCATAAGGATAAGAGCAGAAAAAATAAGACATGAAGCAAACATACAATACAGTGGGTCAATAAATATATTTGTTCTTGGTAAAAGCTAATAAAATAGGAAAGATTTAGCAAGACTAAGAGAAAAGAGAAACAGCACGAACAATCAAAATTAGGAAAGAAAGTCAATATTAACAGTGAAGAAGCAGGGTAACACAGTGGTTCAAAGTATGAATTCTAGAGCCAGACCACGGTTTGAACTGCAGCTCTATGACATACTAGTTGCGTGATCTCAGGAAAATAACTAAACTTCTCCATGCCTCGATTTCCTCATATGTAAAAAGATAATGACAATAATAACACATATCTTAAAAAGTTGTTATAAGGATGAAATGAATTCGTATTAGGAAAATATTCTGAATATTGCCTAGCATGTTGTAAGTGCTATACAAATATCTGTTAAATAGGTAAAATAAATAAAAGGCAACATAATTAGAGATACAACAGAGATTAGAATAATAGTAAGAGAATAGTTGGAGCAACTTTTATATTGTTTGAAAACTTAAGAGAAATTTATCAAATTCCTACAAAAACATAACTTTCTGAAACTGAACCAAGTAGAAATAAGAAACATATAACCACGTAGGAAGAAATTGAATCAGTAGTCAACAATATTCACACACACACACACACACACACACACACACATATATACCCTGGATAAAAATAGCATTTTGGGCAAGTTTTTAAAACTTTTCAAGAAGCAGATCAGCTTTTTACAGATTCTTCTAGGAAAGAGAAAAAAATTGGATTACCTCCCAACCCATTTTATGAGGCTGGTATAAACTTAACACTAAACCCAGACAAGGACAATATGAGAAAGGAAAAATATAGGTCAATGTGACTCATGACCACCAATGACAAATCCTAAACAAAATATTAGTTAACCAAATCCAGCAATATATAATGGCTTAACTTGAGAAACTTTATTAATGTAATTTACTACATTAACAGATTTAAAAAAGAAAATCCATAATCAAAAGCAATTCAGGTAAATGTGATTTATCACATACACACAACTAAAGACAAAAACCACATGATATCTCAATAGACACAGAAAAGGCTTTCAGTAAAATTCAACACTCCTTCATGTTAAAAACTCTCAATAAACTAGGTACTGATGCTGGGTGAGGTGGCTCACGCCTGTAATCCAGCACTTTGGGAGGCTGAGGCGGGTGGATCACCTGAGGTCAGGAGTTTGAGACCAGCCTGGACAGCATGGTGAAACTCCATCTCTACTAAAAATACAAAAATTAGCTGGGTGTGGTGGCACGTGCCTGTAATCCCAGCTACTCTGGAGGCTGAGGCAGGAGAATCGCTTGAACCTGGGAGGCAGAGGTTGTAGTGAGCCAAGATCACACCACTGCACTCCAGCCTGGATGACAAAGTGAGACTCCGTCTCAAAAAACAAATCAAAACAAAACAAAAAACTAGGTATTGAAGGAACAGACCTCAAAACAGTAAGTGCCATCTATGACAAACCCACAGCCAATATCATACTAAATGAGCAAAAGCTGGAAGCATGCCCCATGAAAACCAGCACAAGACAAGGATGCCCTCTCTCACCATTCCTATGCAACATAGTATTGGAAGTCCTTGCCAGAGCAATCAGTCAAGAGAAAGAAATAAAGGGCATCCAAACAAAAAGGGAGGAAGTCAAACTATCTCTGTTTGCAGAAGGGTACTTAGGAAAACCTACAACAAATATTATTTTCAGCTGGTGTAACCATGAAACTATTTCCTTTAGAGTCAGAAGAAAGACAACAGGCCCAACACTTACAGATGATTCTACTTCTAGAAAACCCCATCGTCTCAGCCCAAAACCTCCTTCAGCTGATAAACAACTTCTGCAGTTTCAGGATACAAAATCAATGTACAAAAATCACTAGCATTCCTATACATCAACAACAGCCAAGCAGACAGCCGAATCAGAAAGGCCATTCCATTCACAATCGCCACAAAAAGAATAATATACCTGAGAACACAGCTAACCAGGGAGGTGAAAGATCTCGACAATGAGAATTACAAAACACTACTCAAAGAAATCAGAGAAGACAAAAACAAATGGGAAAACATCCCATGCTTACGGATAGGAAGAATTCGTACCATTAAAATGGCCATACTGCCCAAAGCAATTTACAGATCCAATGCTGTTCCTATCAAACTACCAATGACACTCTTCACAGAACTAGAAAAAAAAAAAAAAAAAACTATTTTAAAATTTACACAGAACTGAAAAAGAGCTCAAAAAGCCAAGGAATCCTATGGAAAAAGAACAAAGCTAGAGGCATCACATTGCCTAATTCAAACTATACTACAGGGCTATGGTAACCAAAACAGCATGGTACTGGTACAAAAACAGGCACATGGACAAAGGGAACAGAACAGAGCGCCCAGAAATAAGGCTGCACACCTACAACCACATGATCTTCAACAAAGCTGACAAAAACAAGCAATGGAGAAAAGACTCCCTATTTAATAAATGATCATGGGGTAACAGGCTAGTCATATGCAGAAGACTGAAGCCAGACCCCTTCCTTTCACTATATACAAAAATCAACTCAGGATGGATCAAAGACTAAATGTAGCCAGGCATAGTGGCTCACGCCTGTAATCCCAACACTTTGGGAGGCTGAGATGGGCGGATCACGAGGTCGGGAGATCAAGACCATCCTGGCAAACACGTGAAACCCCGTCTCTACTAAAAATACAAAAAAAATTAGCTGGGTGTAGTGGCAGGCACCTGTAGTCCCAGCTACGCGGGAGGCTGAGGCAGGAGAATGGTGTGAACCCAGGAGGCGGAGCTTGCAGTGAGCCGAGATCGCGCCACTGCACTCCAGCCTGGGCGACTGAGCTAGGCTCTGTCTCTAAAAAAAAAAAAAAGACTAAATGTAAAACCCAAAACTATAAAGACCCTGGAAGATAACCTAGGCAATACTATCCTGGACATAGGAACGAGCAAAGATTTCATGACAAAGACACTAAAAGCAAATGCAACAAAAGCAAAAATTGACAAATGGCATCTAATTAAATTTAAGAGCTTCTTCACAGCAAAAGAAACTATCAACGGAGTAAACAGACAACCTACAGAATTGGAGAAAATATTTGCAAACTATGCATCTGTCAAAGGTTTAATATCCAGGACATATAAGGAACTTAAACAAATTTACAAGAGAAAACAACCCCACCAAAAAGTGGGCAAAGGGCCGGGTGCAGTGGCTCATGCCTGTAATCCCAGCACTTTGAGAGGCTGAGGTGGGTGGATCACCTGAGGTCAGGCATTCGAGACCAGCCTGAGCAACATGGAGAAACCCTGTCTCTACTAAAAATACAAAAAATCAGCTGGGTGTGGTGGTGCGTGCCTGTAATCCCAGCTACTTGGGAGGCTGAAGCAGGAGAATCACTTGAATCTGGGAGGCAGAGGTTACAGTGAGCTGAGATCACCCCATTGCACTCCAGCCTGGGCAACAAGAACGAAACTCTGTCTCCAAAAAAAAAAAAAAAAAGTGGGGAAAGCACATGAATAAACACTTTTCAAAAGAAGACACACATGTGGCCAACAAGCATATGAAAAAAAGTTCAATTATCACAGATCATTAGAGAAATACAAATCAAAACTACAATGAGATACCATCTCATACCAGTCAGAATGGTTATTATTAAAAAGTCAAAAAATAACAGTTGCTGGTAAGGTTGCAGAAAAAAGAGAACACTCATACACTGTTGGTAGGAGTATAAATTAGTTCAATCATTGTGTAAAGCAGTACGGTGATTCCTCAATGAGCTAAAAGCAGAACTACCATTTAACCCAGCAATCCTATTACTGGGTATATACCCAGAGGAAAACAAATCATTCTACCATAAAGATACGCGCACACTAATGTTCATTGCAGCACTATTCACAATAGCGAAGACATGAAATCAACCTAAATGCCCATCATTGACAGATTGGATAAAGAAAATGTGGTACCTATACACCATCGAATACTATACAGCTATAAAAAAGAATGAGATCATGTCTTGTGCATGAACATGGATGGACCTGGAGGCTATTAGCTCAGCAAACTAGTGCAGGAAAAGAAAAGCAAATATCACATGTTCTTACTTATAAGTGGGAGCTAAATGATGAGAACTTAAGAACACAAAGAAGAAAACAACAGATGTTGGGGTCTACTTGAGGGTGGAGGGTGCGAGGAGGGAGTGGAGCAGAAAAGATAACTCTTTTAACTATTGGATACTAGGCTTAATTCCTGGGTGATGAAATAATCTGTACCACAAACCCCTGTGACGTGAGTTTACCTATGTAACAAACCTTCACATGTACCCCTGAACCTAAAATAAAAGTTAAAAAAAAAAAAGATTCAGGGCAAGCATTTGACAAAACTTAATACCCATTAATAAGAAAAAAATAATTAATCTTCTAAAGCATAGTTATGAAAACTTACAACAAATATCATTTTCAACTAGTAAAACCATGAAAATATTTCCTTTAAAGTCAGAAGAAAGACAACAGGCCCAACACTCACAATGTTGTATCGAACTCCTAAACGATGCGCTAAAGAAGAGATGAGGATGGGGAAAGGGTTACAATAATTGAAAAAAATTTATATGCAGATAATTTGCATAGAAAATTCAAGAGCATCTATACACAAACTGCTAGTCTTAATGTTCATCAAGATTCTTGGATATCCTTCCTGTAGCAGACAGCTAAAATACATAAATAAATAAGTAAATATTTTTAAAGAGATATCAACACAAAATAATAAGTTCATAAGAAAGGGAAAAGAACAAGAAGAGTTTGGGTTCTTTTTTCTTTTGTCTTTTTCTTTTCTTCTTCTTTTTTTTTTTTTTTTAGATAGGGTTTTGCTCTGTTGCCCAGGTTGGAGTGCAAGTGGCTCCATCTTGGCTTACTGCAACATCCACCTTCCAGACTCAAGCAATCCTCCCACCTCAGCCTCTCAAGTGGCTGGGACTACAGTCACACACCATCATGCCTGGCTAATTTTTTGGCAGGGGTTGTGGGGGGGCACTAGAGATGGGGTTTCACCATGTTGCCCAGGCTGGTCTCAGATTATTGGACTCAAGTGATCCCCCACCTTGGCCTCCCAAAGTTCTGGGATTACAGGTATGAGCCACTGTGCCTGATCAAGAGTTTGGATCTTAAGGGAGAAAAAAAGTGAGAAATTTGAAGGCCAGGCAGGGTATCCAGAACAAAGCTCAGGGAAGTGCAGTAGAAAAAGATTAGATCTGGAGGGAAGGAGGGGGCTGGGGCTGAAGTACCACCTGTTGGGTACTATGCTTACTGCCAGGGTAACATGATTGTTGAGACCCCAATCCTCCACGTCATACAATTTACCCACATAACAAACCTGTGTACCATTTAATCTACAATTCAAGTTGACATTCGTTTAAAAAACATCAGATTTGGACTCACAGCCTCATACAGGGGTCCTGGGGTCAAGTACCAATTCAGTCTTCGGGAAAGTTTGCTTTTCTTTACAACTACAACGTTATAGTTCAAGAGAAAAGCCCCAGGCTCCTGAGAAGAATCATTATGTAAAAATACTGACAAAGAGCAGTACGGGAGGAAACAGAAATGCATAATTTAAAGACAGCTCTGAAATTTAACAACATCTTGCTTTGAGGCAACCTGGATTCAAATGATCATTATTTCTGGAAGAAATAAAGTAAGTGTAGACATGACCAGTGAAAGCCTGAGCCAAAGTTCAAATAGCTGAAATAGAATAACCTTCTATTACAAAGTCAGATCAGACTTTCTAAGCATTGATCCCCTTCTCTGAGTTAAAACTCTTGTTTATTTCCTAGCAAACTGGAACATTTGCTTTGTTTTGTATACAGTTTTTTAAATCTCAAATAAACGGAGAGGAAGATCAAACACACACACGGAGCTCACCACTCACCAAAGAACTAAAAGGACTTAACCACCAACGACTTTAGAATCACCATAGAATCCTATAGACAATGGAGTCATTTGTTTGAATTGTTCATTTTTAACTTGGACCACTAGATTTACCCTTTCTGGTAGGTGAAGTAAAAAGAAGAAAAAGGATTGCTTGCCAGTCACACAAGCAAATATTAAAGATAACCCAAAATCTAAGCATGAGCATTTTTGTAAGGCTACTTCACATCTTAGTCTACCCACCTGAATATTCTGGCAATATTGGTACAGACGTCCTTGTCACCCATGTACTGTTCCATCGCCGTGCAGAGCTGGGGAAGGGCACTGATGCTTAGGAACTTAGTTCTTACTAATGGTGAATCAACCAAGTTTCTCAACGTAGCAGTCACCTAGGATAAAAGCATGCTTGTGCCATTTTTTTTTTAAACTGAAAAAATATAACCACAAGAAGCAGCAGAGTACAATTCATCTCATAAATTTTCTTCTATCAGTAGCTAAGTGAAGCTCCCCCTATGCCTCTCCCACCAGCACAAGTAGCAACAAATGAAAACAAAGAAAGCCTAATTTGGTTGAAAAGAATGAAATATTAATCTTTGTAAGCAATTGGTATACCCCAAACCCAGGGTTAAACAAATCATCATCTAGGTTTAACAGTCCTAAGATCTTCAGCTGGCCCCCTGATAGCCACGTCAGTTCTGCAGATTAGAAACTTTTTGTTCTGTTTTTCTTTTTTTTTTTTTTTTTCTTTTTTTTTTTTTTTTTAATTTTATAGGTATTCTTGTCTGATTGTTCTATGATTTTATAAATAGTCATCAGGTAATGATGTGGCAAGCGGAATATTTAAGATCTTTACTCTCATTCTCATCCCAGAGGCAAGTATTAAAGAATCTTAAAATTGTCTTATTTGGTAAAAAAAAATAAAATAAAATAAATGAATAAATTCAGGAAGCATTCTGACTACCTTGGTCAAAGAGTTCAAGAAGAGAAGAGCTTTAGTTAATTCATAAAATTGGAATGTTGTATCTAATATTTTTAATATGCAGTGTGGCTCCTCTCTGTGGGACACTGGAGAGGCAAGCTAGCTGGTTAAGAGGCCAGTTCAGCCCCCACCACCCCCATTAGCCTGGGTTCAGTTACTTACCTCCCCAGAAGCACATTTGTCTCTCATTCAGTCAAAGTAGAGGTGATGATACTTGCCTAGTAGTTTTGAGGATTCAAATGAGATGAGGATGTGGGAATGGCATAGCGGCCATCACTTTAGAGTCAAATACAGGGATTCAAGGTCCCACAATCTCTTCTAGTAAAGTGCCTGAGGCAGCCACTTCCTTCCCGTCCCACTTCCCCCATTCCCTCATCTGTGAAAAGCGGCTGACAAGCACTGCATTCACCTCTGGGGGTGGGGGGTTGGGTGTAGCAAACTGGAACCATGGCTCCACTGTTTTTATTACTTATCTAAATACTTAAAGCATCAGTGTAAACATAAATGCCATCATTATGACGCCACTATATATAAACTTCTAAAAAACAAGTCTTAAGATGACGTGATTAGTTTTTTCTTTTTAAACAACAGCAACAAAAAGATATATTAAAATATAACCTGACTACCCTGAAAACACGAAAATGTTAAAAAAAAATGCTTTCAAATAAATGGTGTATAAGTCTTTGC